ATGTTCGTGTGACACAGCGTGGACGGGTTCGTCATGCCCGAGGTGGGAGATCTTCTCCTCATACCCCGTCCAGTCTGCGGAATGCCTTGACGTTATCCTCGTGCAATCCCAGTTGCTAACATGCATGCTCCATCCTCGCGTGTTATGCTTGTCAGATATTCAGCGAGTACCTTGAAGCGTTGAACGGGCGGTCTTACTCTACAGACGACCATGTCATAGTCCTCGTGACGCAGGACGCCCACTCGTCAATGGATCCATCCGTGATGGAAATGACGGAGCACGGTTTCCGCGTGCAGAACCTGAGCAACCTCCGAATCATTCACATGCAGGGTCCTGATGCGCCAAGGTGCATCCATCCCGGCATGTGCGGTCTGGTAGAGCTGTGGAAGACACTGTACCGTTCCTCATACCTTCGCCATTTGATGATGACACCAGAGTGGCGCGACGGCGCATTGTTCCGATACGCCCCTCCCCTGTCCATCATGGTGAACTGGATGGGTTCAACGTGGAGGGACTTGACTCCGGTTTTGGTCCATCTCAGCTGGTGGCGCGCCGGCTGTGTGCCGGCATCGTGGCGCTCCTTCGTTCGAGAGTTCGTAAACCCCGTTCTTTGTGTCCTGTCCAAACCTCTTGTTCAGGAACTGGGACAGCTGCAGTACATCATAGATGAGTTCGCACGGCTTGGCCACACTCTCATGCATGCCACGGATTATGTGCACTACGAGCTGACCCTTCTCCCGCCACGCGTGCAGCGCACCATGAACGACACCCCAGGCGCCGAGGACGGCCGCGAGATAACCCTGCACACGCAGCCAGGACCGCTACTGAATGACCATCGTTGTCGCAGGCGGGTGGCGCGCGTCGTCACCGAATACCTTGTCCGTCAGGCCCTAAAGCTCGACATTAATGTGCGGGACGCACCAGAGCGGTTTGGCGCGTCGAACGCTCTGGTCGTCAGTCATCTGCGTCGGACGCCAACCAAGCGTCCTCGTCCGTCGACTGTAACCGTAATTTGATGTACCGCGACCATGGAATGAGACCAGCTTCGGCGCGGTAATGGTGCGGGGGGTTCGGGAGTTTGGTATGTAAGGGTGTTTACGACCTTCTTCGATGACCGAAAGAGTGTGGCGTGCTATGGTATGTCATATGCATCGTGCAACTATGAAATTGGATGTAATGTCTTACCTGTTGTTGCGAGACTGTGTTAAACGAGAGCGTGTAGATAGGGTTTGAATGCCACCTTGGATGTGCGAACCGGACCACAGCCACGTGGTGGTAGTTCATGCTTATTGTGCGCTGGACAAGATGTTGAAAGTTTTATTCGCAACAACAAAGTTGTTGAGTGTTTGATGATGAACGAACATTAGCGAGTATGGACCATCACACACCCACTCTTGCAACCTCGCAGCCACATGAATAGTAAATCCCAGGTCCCCATCGAGGGCCCTATGCATGATTCGAAAACATGACACGTGTGCCCGTCATGCATATCCACCGTTCGGCGCCAATTTAGGGACAGCTGGATCTGGCGCGCTATGGTAAGCTCGGTGTTCCTTGTCTATGCTAAGGGTTTCCGAACAACAACAGACTCTGCAAAGCTACAATGTCCGCTGCCTCATATAGTCGTCCGATGAGCTGCCATTACAGCAGACTAGGTTTTGGACGCTCGACTCCCTGTCTATCTCTCCCGTCTACCTACACAGTACGCGTCTGAGTCTTCTAAGTGCACACGATGAACATACAGCGTATGCTGGTGCAGCGAGACAACGTGTCATGCGCGGCCAGTGCCCTAACCACAGTGTCAACGGAGCAGGAGCGCCGAAAGCGCAAGGTGAAGCAGGAGTTGCCTCGCCCTCGTACAGTGACATCGGCGGGCAGCGGTGTGAGGGGCGCCGCCTCCCAGTGATGATGTCGTTGCCCGTCTTGCCCGCCCCAACTATCAGCGTGATTTCTAGACGTTGGCGCTCTACGGTCCCCATGGAGTGGGGTGTCAGCTGCCAGCACAGGAGGTTCTGACGCTCGCTGACGGACAGTGTCTGGCCGACACAGTAGTGGACTTCCATAACATGTAAGGCCCACGAATCGGTGTGTACTATACATGCTGTATGCTCTTTTTTTCGTATCTTGCCTGACAAGCCATATCGTGCATATGTGCTGTGTTCCAGACTATTGAACATAAGGTATCCGAAGCTGGAAGGAGGCAAAACCTGGTTTGCTCTTGACACAAAGGCGTTTACGTTCGCGACATCCCTGAACAAGGCTTGGCCCCTTGGCCATGCATCGTGTATTTTCGCACAGGACTACCTCGCCATCCCAGTGTATTACGAGTAAGGCGTCTACCCCTCGATGCTCATGCTGTTGATAGTTGCCGGGTACCAGAGCAGTTGGTGTCGACACGCGTTCCCTAACATACAACGTGCTTACATGTGCCAGGGGCCACTACTCGCTGGTCATAGCTACGAACCTCCGCACCATGGTCAGCGGGAAGCTATCCGAGACTGTAGAGGGCAGCGTGGAGCTAGTGCATTACGATAGTGCACAGCTGCACACCAAGATGCCGGAAGTGACGGAGGGCGTCAAGAAGTGAGTGGTGCATCTTGTACTTGTGCCATGCCCAATCTTGATAAATGTTGTTGATGCCAACATAACGACCACCGGTAACCTACTTCCCTTGCAGGATTTTGCTCATGTTGCACAAAGCTCAGCTGCCCACGGCCGACCGGAAGCAGGCAGAGGACCACTTGAAGTATGCCGACATCCACATCATGCATGTGAGTGCACTTCATGTCGCAGTCATGTCGCGGACACAGTCTGGTTTGTCAGTCACTTTACGTGTGCGCTCTCATATTCCGTGTCTGCTGGCAGCCGGAAGACATCCCACAACAGTCGAACGCGGTAGACTGTGGCATTTATGTGGGCATGTATCTCCACACCCTGGTTTCGTCCGGCTTTTCAATCCTCAAAGAGTGGATGCCGTTCTACGACGTGAAATCGTGGGCCTACCGGCGCCAGCTCCGCGAGGAGGTGTCCCTCCACGCCACGGGTGACCTTATTGTCAAGCTATTTGGGGAGGGTGTGGATGTTCCCGTGCAGCCTCTTCCCAAGTTGGGAGAATATGGCGCCCTCGTCTTTCCCAAGGAGGATGAAGTCCGCACCGACCTAGCGAGGCAGTCAGGCATGATAACCCGGATGGAGCTAGGGGGGTACGTCGTATGTGCGGCTGTCATGGGCTTGGCACGTTCGCTGGGCATTTCGGAGGATCAACTGCTGAGTGGAGCGGCACACGAGCTTCAGGCACACGACACGCCTCTGCTGGCTCTGTCCACGTCCAAGAACCACGTGGAGCACACCGCATCTATGCGGACGCTCGACATGACCATCCACTCGACTCCCTGTCCGCTTCCACTGCCATCGTTCCCTTCTGCGCATCTCGATGGGTCGTCCATCATTCATAGTGAGCCGACACCAGCATAGGTCAAGCCCGTGACAGGGGAGCAGGAGCTCCCAACCGCTCCCGTAACACCGGCAGCACCGCCGACGGTCTCGCGCTCTGCCAGGTATCGCACGCGTCAGGGGACTAGGACTGCAGCACGGGCCGTGCGTCAGACCAGCATGCCTGCCGCGTACGGTGGTAGGCCTGCATCCAATCGCTGGACAGGGGTGAGTTGGTGCCCACGGGGCCGAAAGTGGGGGGTTACGATGGTGTGCGGCCCAGGCACTGGTCAGCAGATCAGGCTGGGTGTGTATAATGTGGAGCTCGATGCGGCGTATGCGTATGCCGTGGCGGCATTTATGATCAGGCGTAATGACCACATCCAGCACACGAAGGAGCTGTCGGACACGGAGAAGGCATCCCTGATCGAGTGTGTTCGCGACGACGTGCGTCATCTGGTCAAGGCACAGATGTGGTGGAGGTGGCGTCAGTGGAGGACAACAATGGAAGAGCTGGGCATTGCTCCTAGTACTCCCTTCCCCCTCGAAAACAATGGCGCTCGGTCGCCGGACAACAGCAGTGGTGATGACGACGTGGGAGGCAGGATGGTCCATGATGTGGAGGCGGTGGACGAGTAGGCGCAATGGACTGAAAAAATGGGTATATGTAGTGCCATGGCAGCATGAGCTGTGCCGTCATGGAAACTGGGCGAGGCTGATTGCTACACGGATGGCAGTACCTAGGTCGTTGGACGTGCACAGGAAGCTTTGTACTATGTGTGAACACCTTGTGATGCTAGATGTAGTTCTATCCCCTGGTGTGAAAGAGTGCGTACTGCATTGATGTCGCAATTTGGATGTCTTATAGTGGCGCAAAATGAATATCCTACGATGTCTGATTACATATGCACCTCGCGGATGACCCTTACTAGTTTAACAAAAGGTATAGCTGATGTTGTTATGGTGCTGCCATGTGGAACAACAAATGACTCGACTGTATAACGAGATATGCGGATAACTTTGCGTCATGGTTGAGCCATATGGACAAAAGCCGCCAGATGACGAACGCAGTACGACCGACAAGTGATTGCCACGTGTAATGGGGGGGTACAGCACAGACGTGCCCTTGGGTTGGACGCAGAATGCGTAAGTAGTGACCAATATGTAAGCCAGACTCATTCTTGCCCACAACTGTGTTCACGATGGACAGTTTCACAGTGTCGTCACGTGAGGGCAGAAGTCAGCGCGTGTCACAACCGCCTGCCTACCTACGGAACTCTTACCTTCTGCCTGGGAATGTTAGGCGTAAGGTGACGAAGAAGCCTCGTCTGGATGTTTCGAAACATGCCACCGAGCAGCAAGCAAGGGGTCCTCCCTCGCCGCCACGTGAGTGACCAACGTTTCGCCATGCTAATCCGTTTGATGCTTCGTCCATTCTACACCGGCTTGTGACATTCATGCAGAGTATGCTCGTATGTGCTTTGCGCTTGTCACTTAACCATGTTGTTTGTTTTGTGGTTTGAGATGCAGCCGTGACATCATCTCATGGGACTCGCGCGGACTCGCGTATGTTGCATGGGAGCACTTCAGAGGGTAGTTCCTCCTCTGCCCAGTCCAGCCGGCAGGTTGACGAGGCCGCTGCATCCAGCGGGAAGGCGGGTCGCAGGCGCAAGCGTCCCGTTCAAGACGTCATCGAGGGCTCTGCACAAGTGGAGGGGGAACCTGACGCACCCCCGGTGCCATCATCGGACGACGATCCAAACAAGGTTCTCCCAAATCATAACCCACGCCGCACTCAAGACGAAGATGGTGCGGAAGCCGACAACAATACTGAGGCCGACGCAGAAGGGGACGACGCCTGCGCGGAAGGTGCTCCTAATGACACACCAGTCACGCGCGAGGAGCTGCATAGCATGAGGGAGCTCCATGAAGCCACGGCACGTGCGATTGCAAGGCTGGAGACGGCGTTCCTTGCAAAACCAAAGGAAGACGGCAAAAATAAGAAGAGGAGGAGGCGAAAGCGCGGCTCCGGCAAGGGAGAGCGCCGGAAGGCGCGGAGGGCACGCTCTACGTCCGATACGGCGTCCGATGAGGAGGGGGACTTCGACGACGAGGACGAGGGCCACCTTCGACACTCCACATCTGCCATTATGCAGGAGGCGCTCGACCTCCTCCCGGCCGACAAACCCTGGAAGGTAAGACTCGAGTGTTGTCGAGTCATAAATTGGATGGATTGTGCCATACACAGAGTGGAACATGCGTGGTGACTGATGACGTAATGCGTGGTCTTACATTGCAGGAGGTTTGTGAGCAGGCCCGCATCGAGCTGTTCATTAGGCACTCCAACTCGCAGCTGACGTTCTACCCCAGCAGCGCAGCCAAGACATGGGCCATCTGCGCGGTCGTGGATAACCTGACAGAGAGCTACGCAAGCGTTGCTCTCGCTGCGTGCAAGGCACGTCGGATCGACCTGAACAGGTCGTTCAGCGACTGGAAGACTGGTGCGGCAGGAAGAGTTCGCGACATCTCGCTGCCTAAGATTGGACTGTTTCGACACGACCGAGACATGAAGAGTCCCTGGGCGATACGGGCGAGGCGCACCCTGTCCCGAATCCGAGATAGGGTCGGCCTTGGAGACGTGCCTGCGGGTAAGGACGAGAGTGCATTGCACATGCAGAGGTAACCGTTATTAAATGTGCACTTTGTGTGTGCACGTTGTTGCAGGTAAGCTGACCCTCTCTCGGTGGAGTTGCGACAGTGACGGGATGCCGTTCGCGTCTGGGGCATTTACAGCATGCGCACGGGCGGCGTTCAAGCCAAGGATGGTGAACGGGACCATGACACTGAAGCTCTACCACATGGCATGGCTGGAGCACGTGGTGTCAGAACATTATAGCTTATGCTATTGTTTAGGCTATAGTGGGGTATCCCATAGGGGGTACAACCCAACTAGGGTTTCATATTTGTACTCGCTTCATTCATAGTTCACCTCATTCTCGTTCTAATTTCCTCATGGTATCGAGCAGGTTCCCCCGTGGGAACTGTGCCTAGGGCCCACCACATCGATCATTTTTTTTCCTGCCCGAAGCGCGCTCGGCCCGAGTCGCGCTCCGGGCTCTTACGTCGTCGAGCCGCCCTAGCAGGCCTCCCCACGACCTACCTGCGGCCCCGCCGCCCTTTACTGTGGCTCGCGCCGCCCCTTCCCTGCGGCTCGCGCCGCCCTTCCCGGCCCGTCGGCGCCCTCGCGCCGCCCGTCCCGGCCCGTCGGCGCCCTCGCGCCGCCCTTCCCGGCCCGTCGGCGCCTTGCGCCGCCCGTCCCGGCCCGTCGGTGCCCTCGCGCCGCCCTTCCCGGCCCCGCGCCGCCTGTCCCGGCCCGTCGCCGCATAGCCCGGCGCCTCCCTAGCGGCGTCGCGTGCCACCCTTACCCGCGGCCCTACCCGCCGCCCTACCTGCGGCCCTACCTGCAGCCCTACCTGCGGCCCTACTTCCGCCCTTACCTGCGGCCCTACTGTCGCCCTTACCTGCGGCCTTCCCGCCGCCCTACCTGCGGCCCTACCGCCGCCCTTCCTGCGGCCCTACCGCCTCCCTGCCTGCGGCCCTACCGCCGCCCTACTTACGGCCCACCCGCCACCCTACTTGCAGCCCACCGGCGCCCTACTTGCGGCCCACCCGCTGCCCTACCTTCGACCGCCGCACCGCCCTGAACCAGCGCCGCCGAGCCGCCCAGCGGCAGAACCACCGAGCCGCCCGGCCACCGCGCCGCCCTGAACCAGAGCCGCCCAGCAGCAGAGCCGCCGAGCAGGCGAGCCGCCCAGCCGCTCAGCAGCCGAGCCGCCCTGCCGCCGAGCCGCCCTGCAGCAGAGCCGCCGAGCCGCCCTGCCGCCGAGCCGCCCTGCCGCCGAGCCGCCCTGCCGCCGACCGCCCAGCAGCCGAGCCGCCGAGCCGCCCTGCAGCCGAGCCACTCTGCAGCCGAGCCGCCCTGCTTCCCTACTTCCGGACCGCCAGAGCTGCCCCGTCTGGTAAGCACAGCGCCTTCTCCCGCTGCACGGCCCTCCCCCCCCCCCCCCCCCCCCCCCCCCCCCCTCACTGTTTGCACTGCTAATCGTCTGTCGTCATGGATACCCCTAGTGTCCTAGCTTTTGACGCTGAGGGTCGGGCCATTGACTTTGAGGTCTGGGTAGACGACCTGCAGCTGTTCTTACAGTGCGATAGGGCAGACGGCCTCTCTTTGTTCGACCTTACCTCTGGCGCTTCCCCTGCCCCTGCTGCTGACGCTGACGCCACTGTTCGCTCCCAGTGGGCCACGCGCAACGCTGCTGCACGTCTTGCTGTGCGTCGCCACCTCCCTACCTCCGAGCGTGCGCACTTTAGTCAGTACAAGAGTGCTCAGACCTTGTACGATGCTGTAGTTGCGCGGTACTCCTCCCCTGCCACTGCTGCACTGAGCCGTCTCATGCTACCGTACCTCTTCCCTGACCTTGCTGCCTTTCCCACCGTGGCTGACCTCATTACGCACCTCCGCACTAGTGACACTCGCTTCCGCGCTGCACTCCCTGCTGACTTCTGCGCCAAGAACCCCCCCCCCCCATGTACATCACTCTGTACTTCCTAGTCACTCGCCTTCCTGACTCCCTTCGAGTAGTCAGGGACCACTTTCTCTCAGTCTGTCCCACCACACTCACTGTCGACCTCCTCGAGAAGGCCCTCTTAGCAGCGGAGAAGAGTAAAGTCGCTGTAGGAGCCTCTCGAGGTGACCCGCGCACCCCCATCTTTGAGGGGTGTTCCCCCTCCCCCCTGCTGCCCTCTGTTGCCTCTGCAGCTACGGCCGACCTCCTTCGTCTTGAGTCGGTCGGTGCGGCGTCTGCCCCTAGCGGGAGACGCCGCCCTGGCAAGGGCAAGGGGGGCAAGGGAGCTGGAGGAGCGGGCGGTGGAGGTGGAGGTGGAGGCGGTGGGGGTAGTGGGGGTGGCGGTGGGAGTGGAGGTGGGGGTGGGGGGTTCGGTGGCGGCAGTGGAGGCGGAGGCGGCGGCGGCGGTGGCGGTGGGAGCGGAGGTGGCGGAGGAGGCGGCGGTGGAGGCGGCGGTGGAGGCGGCGGTGGAGGCGGCGGCAGTAGCGGAGGCGGCGGAGGCGGTGGGGGTGGCGGTGGAGCTGGTCGCGGGTCTTCGCAGAGGAGTGGCTCTGGTAGTGGCGCGCGCCAGCAGCAGCAGCGCGGTCGTGAGACCCTGTCCCCTCAGCAGCTCCGGGAGTGGTACACTGCATGCCAGCGGGGTGGGGGTTTTGGTCAGTGCACCTACGTCCTGCGCACCGGCGACCGTGCGGGTGAGCAATGTGGGGGCCCGCACCCCACCCAGTGCTGCTTTGGCCGCCTGACGGACGCGTGGCGTCACCAGTTCCCAGAGGCCTCAGAGATTCCTCGCTGGGGCGAGCTGTCTAGGGCGAGTGTTGCCATCCTTGATCTTGACTTTAATGCTATTCTCTCTGCCATGTATGCTGTGTCTCATAGTGATGAGGGTGACTGCTACCGCTGTTTCCAGCCCGATCCGGGCATTGAGGCTGCTGCCCTAGGCGTTACACCACGGTCTTCCCCTTGCGCAGCAAGGGAGATGCCACTGAGGTGCTGATCGACTTGATCCGCGCGGCTCGTCTCCAGCTCAAGCGGAGCTTTGGCTCGGACTTCCTAGTTCTGCGTCTGCACTCGGACAGAGGCGGAGGGTTTTCCTCTGGCCTACTGCGAGCCTACTGTCGCGCACGAGGCATCCGTCAGACCTTCACGCTTCCGGACTCACCGCAGCAAAATGGGATTGCTGAGCGCCGCATTGGCATGGTCATGGACGTCGCTCGTACGTCTATGATGCATGCGGCTGCCCCCCATTTTCTGTGGCCGTTTGCGGTCAGGTACGCGGCGCATCAGATCAACCTCCACCCCAGGGTCTCCAGGCCGGAGACCTCCCCAGCCTTACTGTGGACGGGGAAGGTTGGCGATGCGTCGGCGTTCCGGGTCTGGGGATCTCGGGCGTTTGTCCGCGACTTGTAAGCGGACAAGCTGTCCCCTCGTGCTGCTCCTTGCGTCTTCCTGGGGTTCCCCCCTGACGCGCCTGGGTGGCAGTTCTACCACCCCACCTCTCGACGTGTTCTGTCCTCCCAGGACGTCACGTTTGACGAGTCGGTCCCCTACTACCGCCTCTTCCCCTACTGCACTCCGTCCCTCCCCCCACCCTCGCTCTTCCTTGTACCAGGTCCCCCCCAGGTAGACTCCCTCCCCCCTCAGGGTCCTGCCCCTTCAGGTGTGTCCCAGGTAGACGCAGTCGAGCCTGTCGAGGTCACTGGTGACTCTGGTGCTGCTGGGGGTGCTGAGCCTGCGGGTGCTGGACCTGGGGGTGCGGAGTCTTGGGGTGCTGAGCCTGGGGCTACTACGTCTGGGGGTGCTGAGCCTGAGGGTACTGAGCTTGGGGGTGCTGAGCCTGGGGGTTCTGAGCTTGGGGGTGCTACGCCTGGGGGTGCTGAGCCTGGAGGTGCTACGCCTGGAGGTGCTGAGCCTTGAGGTGCTACACCTGGGGGTGCTGAGAGTGGAGGTGCTCCGCTTGGAGGTTCTCCGGGTGCTTCTTCTCGCCGGGAGCCACTCTCTCCACAGGAGCTGCGCGAGTAGTTTGCCCGGCGCTGGCGCCGTACTGCTGGTGCTGGAGGTTCTTCGGCTGCTGAGGGTGCTGCGGTCGCGGGTCCCGGAGGTGCTCGTACTGGGAGTTCTGGAGCTGCTGGGCCTACGGGTTCAACTGGAGCTGGTGCTGCTGAGGGAGTTGGCGCTGAGACTACTGCTGGCGGTCCTACTGGGGGTGCTCGTGGTGCTGCTAGAGGTGCTGCTGGAGCGGGTGCTCCTGCTGAGGGTATTGTTTCTGTCCCTGCTGCTTCAGGCGTCGTCACGCGGACTCGACCGTATTTTGTTCCACTCCTGCAGCAGGTTCTTGGTGTTCCTCCTTCTACTGGTCCTTCTTCTCCCTTAGAGTGTCCACAGCCTGTCCCGTCACAGTCACAACTAAAGCCTGCCTCCCCTCTGCCTGCTCCTTCTCCCTATGCTGGTCCTACTGGAGGTCTTACTCAGCGTCGTGAGCCTGCGTCTCGTCCTGCGTCGCCTGTTAGAGCTACTCGCGCTAGTGGTCGCGGTTTGCGCCAGCGTCCTCCTCCTGTCCCTGGCACACACCGGATGTCTCTGCGTCTGTCTACTGCTCCTCTGCGTGCCCTTTTGCCTTCCCCTCCTGAGTCCTCTCTTCCTGCACTTGCCGACCCTGAGTCGAACTCTCTTCGTGCTGCCAGTCCTACTGTCACGCGTCTCCTTCCTACTGTTGTCACTGACCCTTCTTTCGAGTCTACTGCTGAGTCTGCGTCTGTCTGTCCTCCGTCCGTCGGGGGTGAGTGTGCCCTTGGCACGGACGTTCTTGAGGACAGGCAGGAGGAGTTCCAGTGTCTGGCAGCTGCTTCACCTCATCTCGTGTCCGTACTGCTTACCCGGATGCACTTGACATCCCGACTCCGCGCTCTTACGCGGAGGCGATAGAGGGTCCCTACTCCTCTCAGTGGCAGGCAGCTATGGATGCAGAGATGGCTTCCTGGAAGTCCACAGGCACCTACGTTGACGCTGTCCCCCCTCCTGGGGCGAACATCGTCATTGGCATGTGGATCTTCAGGGTGAA